CCATTAGTGAATCTTTAATTAATAAGTTGACCCGAACCACCGTTGACGACAGGATTACTAGAAACGAGCCAAGACTTGTGTGTGAATAACTTAAAATTAGTGATGCTTTGAAAAATCATATGAAAAGTTTTTAGGAAATAAAAAATACTATGTAAAATGAAAAAGTGACACAATGTCGCATTTTTTTTTAACAAAAATTGTCACTTTTTTCCTTTTTTTTAAAAAAGTGACACAAACTAAAAAAAGTGAAATACCAAAATAGCACCATCCATTTGGGCAGCACCAATAATCAAGTTCTTAAAATAATCACCACCTTCAGGCCAATCCACATGCTGATTATGTTAGAAAAATATAACATATTGTTTCAATTTTTTATCTTCTTAAAAAGTGACAAAAATTTAAAAGTGATAAATTTTAAAAAAGTGACGAATTCAAAAATAGTGGCACAAATTAAAAGAAATTATACAGATTAAAAAAGTGAGACAATAAAAAAAAGTGGCACACTCAAAAAGTGACAAAATAAAAAAATAAAAAAAGTGACAAGTTCAAAAAAGTGACACAAATTACAAAAAAAAAGTGACAACAATAAAATTCAGTGACATTTAAGTCAATGCAGAAAGATGTGCATTGCCAATTGAAACATTCTACCATATATCATTAGCTTTACATATACAATTTTAACTGATTCATACCCAATAATTAGTAGATTCAGTAGGTGAATGATACAGTTATCCATTCATTGAGACCATTCAGCCTAACAAGTGCCAATAGTATTACCAAAATGAATGAAAACAACAAATTTCTACAACAAATTAACAATGTCAATCAACACCACCTCATCCGACGCAAAAATGAAAATCAGCTGCCAAGCTTTGGATTATCCGCTAGGAATCATATTCAAGGAACAATTGATGACAGCCATTTGCAACACCAAAGAGAAGTCCTCCATCAGCGCCACCAACTCTGCATCCTTGACTGAAAAATGCCCCATTACCCTCTTCACGAAAGCACCTACCAAAACTCCTTCACTATCTCTAATCACATCTTGATGACAACCATTTGAAATACCAAAGAGAAGTCCTCCATCAGCGCCACCACCTCTGCATCCTTGACTGAAAAATGCCCCACCATCCTCTTCACGAAACCACCCAACAAAACTCCCTCACTATCTCTAATCATCACAATACCCCAATATCCCCCGTCACCTACCCTCACAACAGCATCAGTGTTTGCTTTTTTCTGTTTTTTCTCGAAATCTTTCTTCGCATCCTCCTTTGGAAGTAAACCAGACTCCATCATCCTCCTTTGGGAATGAAGGTGTCTCGGAGTTTTCTCATTCACGGGCTTCATCCTCCTAATTTGGGTTTTCTGTATTTTGAGGTTTGGAAGTAATTCTACAGCCCGCCGATGGTGTTGACGGAAGGAAGGCGGCGTCGTGTCAATGGCTCAAAAAGGTGATAGTGAGAGGCTGATGGCCGTGCACTGCCTTCGTCCGTTTGTGGTCTGTAGTATACTGGGAGATTTTGGATTTTTGTTTCGGTTTAGGAAGTAATTAATACGGGGTTTATGTGATGTTTAATTAACTTAGGGTATTTACTTTTTAGAGCATTGGACCTAATTTCCCCTTGGTTTTTTAGTTCAATTGGATTGGATTGGATTGGGTTCGACTTAGGAAATCAAAGTTTAGGTCGAGTCGAGTTGGATTTCGAGTTATCTATTAAAACTCAATCCAACCCAACCCAACCCAATAAATTAAAAAATATTAAAAAAAAATTAGTATTTAAAGCCAAAAAGTTAAAACCCAATAATCAAAATTCTCGTCTGCCTCTTGTCTTTTCTGCCTTTCATTGTTGCTCATGCCTCGACTTTTCGACTTGAATTTTTTGACGTGATTTTTGACTGAACGCTTGGATTAAATGAGGAGATTTTGTATTGAGTTTGGATATTTAACATTTTTAGTATTTAGGTTGAACTGATTTTATTCGATAAGTGTAATATGCGGGTATTCAATATGTATTTATATTGATTTAATGTGTAATTAATTTAATCATGATATAACCTAATCTATTTAACATGTTTTACAATATTTTCAATTTATATTTTTCTATTGGAATGAAACTTAACCCTACGGACCATTGATCCAACTTCAATCGAGTTAAAGCCTTTCAAATCACCATTTTTAATGTAACTGAAATTGGTCCAAATTGAAATAGTATCAAACTTTAAAAAATTTGTTCAAATTCAACGAAAAATGCCTCAACCATTGGGCCCATAAAAAAATTGTCCAACTTGTATTTGGCTCAAGTCCAAACCAATCAACTCAACTCAAACCAACCTGAATTTGGTCGGTTTGGATTGGGTTGGATTTCAATAGTAAATGGGTTGGTTTCAGTTTGAATTATTGTCAAATCAAACATGTTGGGTTTGACTCAAAACCAACCCAACTCAACCCACGGCTTGCCCTAAGCAGAGTTATGATCCTTCGTATAAATTATGATTTACTTATAAGTAGATAACAGTAACTTTTTATATTAAAATTAGAATTGAATTTATTTATTACTTTTAAGCAACTAAGTTATTATTTTTTAAAGCAAATACAAATAAAATAAGTTACAGGTTTACTTAAATTTTATTTTTACTTGTAAATAACATTTACTCTTTCCAATATATATTGAGTGGATGTTTGGTGGCGATTTAAATTAGATTTTTGGTAAATTATGATATAAGTTTTTGAAATGTGTGGTTGAAAAGTTGTGGAACCCATAAAAAATATGGTTAATATTGATTATTTGACTTTGACTTTGACTTTAATTTAAATTAAATTTTAATTTTAATCTGAAATAAACAGGACCTAATTCTTTTTGCAATAGTTAATTCAATGAATTGACTTTCTATGTACAGTGAAGTCTTGCAAAATTTAAAAGGCATTTTTTAGAAGTAAATTTTTTAAGCTTTAGCCAAAGAAGAGTTCATTTTTATGAATAATTCTTTTATACGAAATTTAAAATAAATAAATAAAATATTTATTTTAATATTATTTGATTAAGTATCGATTAAATTCTAATTAATTTCTACAATTTTTACCAAATTTTCAATCATATATTCATCATTTTTATCAAAATTTGTTAAAATTTTATCAAACAACCTTCGAGCATAATTTCGTTCAAATTATCAATATTACACGAGTTTAAATTAAATGACTAGATAAGCATGTAAACGATTTCAATCACTATGATTTTGACTTTTCATACTCGATATTTCTTGAGGTGGTTGCATAAATATAGTTGTCGAGCATTTGTAGGTTGCTTAATCCCATTTTACATTCAACATGGAAATTATTTTGTTCTTTTATAAAGTTGATTTTTGATTGAGCAGAAGTGGCCCCATAATCCATATAATGCTGTCTGTCCTGTTTGCCTGAGGATGTTGGGCTGTGCTTTAACTTAAAAGTTAAACTTTACTTTTCAAATTATTAAGTTTTTTGTTAAATAAAAACAAGTTTAAAAATATTTTAGGAAACTGACGCAAATGGTCTCAAATCTTTACTTAAATTACGTTTTGATCCAAACTCTTCAATCTATACTGGCCCTCGATCAAATATGTAAAATTTTAAAATAATCATTCTCGTCCATATGCATATTTTTAATATAATTTTTATTTATGTCGTGAAAACATTTGCCCACGATCTCAAAGTAAAATTTCAATAATTTCAAGTTTACCATTTTACAAATATTTATATTAGCATTTTGAAATACCAATTATACCCTTAATTGTACACTGTCACCTGAATGAGTCGAGCAAAATTCTGACAAAAATGGACTTAAGCACACGATTTTTATATGGCCGCCAATTTTGAATTCAATGGGTGCATGTGGTTTGGAGTAGAGATGTCAATGTGACTCATCGACTCGGATGATTCGTGGCTTGACTCGGGAAAAACTGGAGCTGGGCCGCTCGTGGCTCGGTGGAGCTGAGCTCCTTTCTGGGGCTTCGACTCGAGTCCGATCCAGCCCGTGTAGCTCGTCGGCCTATGTCACAGGTTTCGACCTTTCAATTTGTAATGCTTGAGTTCTCAAAGAATAAATATTTTTTAGAAAAAGAAATAGAGAAATTTATTCCCCTTCCCATCGTCATTTCCCCCACCAGCAACTTTATCCCAAACAAGACATGTGAGGAGAGAATCAAGCGA